CTAACACTCCCGCCCAATACTCTCCCGCCTAACACTCCCGCGAAGCCCTCCCGCCAACGACTCCACCTAATCCCTCCCGCCACTAACTCTCTCTGTTACTCCAGGTCATTAAAACCTGCCTATATTAATCAACCCAGCTGTTTGAAATGAAAGCTTCCATCACATTAACTCCTGCTTGCAGCCATTACCTTCCCAACTGATTTCACTCACATCGCATTTAGTCCCCCTTTTTTCCAATGAAGTCATACACCAGCCCACATTAAATATCAAAGACGATGGACCATAACCTCACACCAAACCCAACGCTTTCAATTACTGAAGGAGGGGAGACTGAAACAGAAGCCAAGTCACCCAATTCACTCACTGTAGACTTGGTCCATGGCATGCAGCAATGTCGAGGCAATACCATGTTTTGGAAAAATCTCCATGCAGACATAGTATCAAAAATTGTGGAGGGCCAAGCTAGATGGGATGTCATAAGAAAGCGCACAATTCGCTCTCGTTATCATGCCCGCATGCATCTCGTACATATAAAGGCAATCAAACGAAAAATTGAAATTGCCTCTACCACTGCAATTATGATATTCAAGGAATCATAAGAAATGGCCAAGTTGAAGCAACAACAAGTGGAAAGGGGATTTGAACTATTTCGTAAGTTTGAAAAAATAGTGGATCCGGCAGGAAACTGGGCCATAATCACTGTGGCCGGGGTCATGAATTTCATGGGTCGTGGTCGCCGCACTTGAAGAGTATGCAAACTTCGAATGTGTCAACAGCAGGGAAATGGAACTATGAGGTGGCCTCTTTTTGTATTATGTAACCATGGGGTGGCCTGTTGTTGTATTATGTAAGTTTGGAAATAGGATTTTATGGAATGATCATGCCTCTTTTTGTATTTGTGCGTATACAGTTTATCGGTGTCCAGGTCAGTGGCGATATAGCAGCAATAACTATACAATAAACATGCGTATAATGGCAATATTATGTCAATAAGAGTACAATAGAGAGATGATAGAGTTACAATATGATCCTATTACAGTACGTACTGCATCAGAATGTTTTTAAAATTATTTGCTCCTCAAAAATTCAAGAAAAAAAAAAAGTAATTACAACCTGGAAAAAGGATGAAGTATACATCCCTTAAAAGACATATGGCCTACATTACAGACCTTCAAAATGAACTCTATATATATAATGCATGCCTTGTGGCACCATCACATCC